AGTCAGACCCCAGACCCCCTTCCCCCAGGCGCCCTGACAGGAGAGGACTCTTGCGCTCCCATCCTGCTTGCGGGATCCTGATCAAAGCCTCTGGCTGGCCAGTGTGAGAACAGCATGCTGGAGTAGATGGGCCATTGGCCGGATCCAGTGGGCTCTGCTTGGCTTCTTAGGACCAGAATCCCCATGTGAATCCAGCAGCTCATACAGGGAACAAAGGAAGCTGGTCCAATCCAAGATAGCTCCCTACTCAAAGGCTGCAGGGAAATGAAGGGGTTTTTATATGCCAGTTAATTTATCCAAAGAGACCTTTTCCTCCATGGTTCCTCCTCCTCTGTTCTCTAGTGCCATCCCAGGGGCATGGTGCCAGGCAGAGGGCAGGTGCCCACCTCCCCAGCTGGCCTGGGGGTGCCTGATTGCCTTGCCAGCCCAGCCATGTCTCAAACTCGCTGACACTAATAGGCCTGTCAGCAAGGCCTTCCCAGAGAAGGGACTGCAATTGTTTTCCGATCCGGGAACGGCAAGGCAGATAAGGCTTTCACCTCTGAGGCACCGGCTAGAAATTAGGGGTGCGAGGCAGGAAGCAGCAAATGGAGATAAATGAGGGTGCCAGGTGGCGGCCGCCTGCCCACGGGACGCCCTGGAAGTGGCTAAGTGCATAAAGAATCGCTGGCCAGTTATCTGGCCTCTGCTTTGGACAGCCTCAAATGAGGAAACGAGGAAGAATGAGCCAGGAGGAGAAGGAGGAGAAGCCAGAAACGAGGAAGAATGGAGGAGTAGGAGGAGGGGAGGGACTGGCCAGGCGGAGTCCGTGGGCTCTGGATGCAGAGCAAAGGCAAAGCCATGCCCAAGCCAGACCCTGAACCTGCCTTCCCCCACCAGGGGAGCACCTGGATCTCCTGGAGGGAGGAAGGCCCTTGGGCCTTTGTCTGAGCAGCCACAAAGCTCCAGGGATGAAGCCTTCCCTGGTCAGCCAGCTCCACAGACCGCAATGCAGTGGCCTCCATCCCACAGCCTCTCTTGAGGGAGGGAGGAGACTGGACCCCCTTCCTCTTCTCTGGAGAAGCAATGATTGTGAAAGGTGCAGATCCTCGGCAGAAGATCCTGGGTCCACTGGTCCACCGGAACACCCCTAGGTTGTCCTGGGGGATTTTAACATCCATGCCGACACGACCTTACAAGGGGCCGCTCGGGACTTCGTGGAAAGCATGGCCTCCATGGGGCTGTCCCTGAATAAGTCTGGCCCAACCCATAGCCGCGGACATGCCTTGGACCTGGTGTTTACCTCTATGGATGTTGGTGATCTGACACTAAGTAAAAGTGAAACGAAAGAAGTGCCATGGTCAGATCGCTTCCTGGTGCAACTGGACTTCTCTGCGACCCATCCCCTCTGCAGGGAGGTGGGACCGATTCGGATGGTCCGCCCCCGCCACTTAATGGATCCAAATGGTTTCCAGAGAGTGGTAGGGGATGCTTTATCCCATGTTGATGGCCTTTCAGCTGATTCCCTGGTGGCCCGCTGGAATGTGGAGTTAACCAGGGCTATTGACTGTTTGGCTCCGAAGCGCCCTCTCCGATTGCACGGAGCCCAGACAGTCCCGTGGTTTTCCACGGATCTGAGGGCAATGAAACAATCGTTGAGACGGCTAGAGCGCCGGTGGCGGATAACTCATTCCGAATCTGACCGGACACAGGTTAGAGCTCAACGTCGAGCCTACCAAGTAGCGATAGCGACAGCGATGAAGACCTTCTTCGCCGCCTCTATTGCATCTGCAGAAAACAGCAGCAGGAGACTTTTTCAGGTGGTTCACAATTTAGCGGAACCACCTGCTACATCGGGGCCCAGTACGGGCCACATGTTCTCCTGCAATGATTTTGCAAAGTTTTTTTTGCAGATAAAATCGCTCAGATTCGGGAAGAAGTAGACTCCACCGTGGGAGCAGGGCCGGGGCGGGAGAGTGCTAGAGTCCTGTCTAGTCAAGTTGTGTGGGATCAATTCCAATCTGTTACCTCCGAGGATGTGGACAGGCTGCTTGGACGAGTGAAGCCAACCACCTGTCTCCTGGATCCTTGCCCATCCTGGCTTATAAAAGCTAGCCGGGAAGGACTGGGCAATGGGCTTCGTGGGGTGGTGAATGCTTCCCTCCGTGAGGGAGCCTTCCCAGACCCGCTGAAAGAGGCGGTTATTAAACCGCTTCTTAAAAAAACATCTTTAGATGCGGCCACGATGGCCAATTATCGCCCAGTCTCAAATCTTCCATTCTTGGGCAAGGTGATTGAGCGAGTGGTTGCTGAACAACTCCAGGCACGCCTGGAAGAAGCGGACCATTTGGATCCCTTCCAGTCGGGATTCAGGCCTCATCATGGGACTGAAACTGCCTTGGTCGCACTGGTTGATGATCTCCGGCGGGCTAGGGACAAAGGTGAGAGCTGTTTCCTAGTTCTGCTGGATCTCTCAGCGGCGTTTGATACCATCGACCATAACATCCTTCTGGACCGTCTTGAGGGGCTGGGAGCTGGGGGCACTGTCATACAGTGGTTCCGCTCCTTCCTCCTGGGCCGTGTTCAGAAAGTGGTGGTGGGGAATGAGTGTTCAGACCCCTGGGCTCTCACTTGTGGGGTGCCTCAGGGTTCTGTCCTCTCCCCATGCTTTTCAACATTTACATGCAGCCACTGGGAGAGATCATCAGGAGGTTTGGGCTGGGTGTTCATCAGTATGCGGATGATACCCAGCTCTACCTCTCTTTTAAATCAGAACCAGTGAAGGCGGTGAAGGTCCTGTGTGAGTGTCTGGAGGCGGTTGGAGGATGGATGGCGGCTAACAGATTGAGGTTGAATCCTGACAAGACAGAAGTACTGTTTTTGGGGGACAGGAGGCGGGCAGGTGTGGAGGATTCCCTGGTCCTGAATGGGGTAACTGTGCCCCTGAAGGACCAGGTGCGCAGCCTGGGAGTCATTTTGGACTCACAGCTGTCCATGGAGGCACAGGTCAAATCTGTGTCCAGGGCAGCTGTTTACCAGCTCCATCTGGTACATAGGCTGAGACCCTATCTGCCTGCGGACTGTCTCGCCAGAGTGGTGCATGCTCTGGTTATCTCCTGCTTGGACTACTGCAATGCGCTCTACGTGGGGCTACCTTTGAAGGTGACCCAGAAACTACAACTAATCCAGAACGCGGCAGCTAGACTGGTGACTGGGAGTGGCCGCCGAGACCATAGAACACCGGTCTTGAAAGACCTACATTGGCTCCCAGTACGTTTCCGAGCACAATTCAAAGTGTTGGTGCTGACCTTGAAAGCCCTAAATGGCCTTGGTCCAGTATACCTGAAGGAGCGTCTCCACCCCCATCGTTCTGCCCGAACACTGAGGTCCAGCTCCGAGGGCCTTCTGGCAGTTCCATTCCTGCGAGAGGCCAAGTTACAGGGAACCAGGCAGAGGGCCTTCTCGGTAGTGGCGCCCGCCCTGTGGAACGCCCTCCCATCAGATGTCAAAGCGATAAACAACTACCTGACATTCAGAAGACATCTGAAGGCAGCCCTGTTCAGGGAAGTTTTTAATATGTGACATTTTAGTGTATTTTTCATCTTTGTTGGAAGCCGCCCAGAGTGGCTGGGGAAACCCAGCCAGATGGGCGGGGTACAAATAATAAATTATTATTATTATTATTATTATTATTATTATTATTATTAATCTGGCAAATGTGCACCTGGACACCTCACCCTGAATCAGAGTTGACCCTCCTGGTGGTTCTGATGCTTTAAGATAAAAAGCTGCACCAACTAAAGAATCATGGCAAGAAAAATTGATGGATTATGCAGAACTGGCAAAATTGACATATAAGCTACGGGACAAGGATAACTGTGACTTTGAGGATGAATGGGAACCTTTCACAAAGTATTTGAAGACGCAACAAAGCGAACTGGACTCCTTGGCAGGTTTTGAATAAACATCCACAATTTTCTACTGATAATAATTAGCTAAACAGTTGGAGGATCTATACAACTCTGTAACATGCAGAAAACAGCATTATTGGAGAAACCAAAGACTGGAACTGAGGGAAGTTGGGGGGTGAGGTGGGGGGGTTGTGGGGGGAGGAAAAATTGGGGGGGGAATAAGGATATGTTTTTGGAAAATATGTTTTGTTATAACTTTTAATAAAAAAAAATTTAAAAAAAGATAAAAAGCTGCAGTTTGGCACATTTGCACAGTCCAAGGGCACAAACCCTGAGCAGGGTCTGAGCCTGGGGCAAAAGGAAGAAAGTCCTTCTTCACGCAGTGCATTGTTGAACTATGGAACTCTCTGCAACAGGAACCTAGGATGTGGCAAATTCATGGAGAAGAATGAGGCTTTCAGTGTCTGCTAGTCACGGTGGCTCTGATCTGCCTCCACAGTCAGAGGCAGCCCTGCTCCTGAATCCCAGTTGCTGGAAACTGCAGGAGGAAAGAGTGGCTCTTGTGCTCAAATCCTGCTTGCTCGTTACCCATAATGGGCTCCTTTCCCCTTATGGGGTACCCAAGAGCCCATATAGAGTCCTTTTGTAGGTTCTCTATCGGTAGGGGAAAATAACAGAGGCCAAGCAGAGAATATTGAGAAGCAAAGCAGCTCCTAAGCCTGATCTTTATTGAACTGTTGCAACAGGGTGCTCACAACCACAGGCAGGAGGCAGGAAGGACCCCGAGCAATGGTGCACAAGCCCTTATACGGCCATTGAAATTGCCCACCCTGGAGCCCAAGACCACCCCCAATACTTCACACATACATCACAGAAGGGGTGGTCTACAACACAATCCTGTCTGGCAGGAAACCTGTGGATGGGTTTACCTGGCTGTTAATGGGTTTGCCTGGGCAGCCTGGCTATTCTTTTGTGATGATAAATACTTAATTCTTGAGTTCAGATCACAGGCTCACCCATTTCCTCCCTCCTTGCAGAGAAACATTTGAGGTCAATTTGGGGGAGACAAAATCGTTTCAGGACTTTTTTCCTGCACTGTTTCAGACATGCGGTTTATATATTTATGTACGTGTTTGCTTGGTACATTTATTTTATATCTTAGACCTTATAAATCTCATAACATGGTTGACTACTGTGGGCACAGGAGGAAAAACCCCTTTCTGTTGTTGCTGCTGCTGCTGTCACCAGGCATGTTTTCTCCTTCCAGGCTTTGCAGATGACAACTGGGTGTGTCCCCCACGTCCTTGTGCTGGGGATTCCAGTTGCACCCGGTGCCTTCCTTGCTGCTCACTGCATTGGCAGAAAAAAGGGGGTGTCTTCTGGCCCCCTCCCTGTGGGTCTGAGCAGAGCAGTGGGTGCCCCCCACCCCATGCCATGTGGCAAGACTCAGCCCGGCCAGGTGCCGCCTTCCTCCTCTCGCCCTTCACAGCCAGGAAGAAGCAGATCTGATTGGGAATTAGGCTGCAAGAGCAACCGTGTTCCCTTCTCTCTTATCTAAGTTGCTGTAACAAGTGCTTTGCATTTATTCCAGCCCATGTGCTGCAGAATTGCGTTACAGCTCATGGCTGCAAGCCATCTGCGGAGAGAAATCCAGTTATACCTTGTATAATAAGTTCCTGACAATCTTGCAGAGGACTCCGGGTCATAAAAGTCTCCCGGTTTTATCGCCAGTAACAGACATGGAGAGAAATTAAGTTGTCTTATCAAATTTAGTTACAGATAGGTAGCCGTGTTGGTCTGCCATAGTCAAAATAAAAAAAATCCTTCCAGTAGCACCTTTAAGACCAACTAAGTTAGTTCTTGGTATGAGCTTTCGTGTGCAAGCACACTTCTTCAGATACACTGAAACAGAAGTTGCCAGATCCTTCTATATAGTGAGAAGGTGGGGAGGGGTATTACTCAGAAGGGTGGTGGGAATGGGAGATTGGCAGATAGCTGAGATGAGCCTGCTGACGACTCTTAACGACTGTAATAGGTCTTACATGACTAAGCCATTTCTCACCTTCTCACCCCTTGCCTTTTCCTGTAAGACCTATTACAGTCGTTAAGAGTCGTCAGCAGGCTCATCTCAGCTATCTGCCAATCTCCCATTCCCACCACCCTCTGAGTAATACCTCCCCACCTTCTCACTATATAGAAGGATCTGGCAACTTCTGTTTCAGTGTATCTGAAGAAGTGTGCTTGCACACGAAAGCTCATACCAAGAACTAACTTAGTTGGTCTTAAAGGTGCTACTGGAAGGATTTTTTTTATATTATCAAATTTAGATAATATATATCCCTCTGGAGTGGAAGGTGCCTGATGGATCTTTTTCAGCCTTTGGGGGCTGGGGGGGGATAAGCCCCCACCCGCCTTCAGGGCCTGGGCAGCTTCCAGCCTCAGACAGGAAGGGGGACCGATCTGTGCCACCTTCTCTCATGCCCTCCAGCTGGGCTTGGATTCCTTTCCATTAGCATCTGGGCCTCCAACATATTTCTCTCTCTCTCTCTGCTGGGGTCCTTGCCAGACTTTGCTAATCCACTGGTACCGCAGCCGGGATTGATGCCATTCAGGAGAACGTGGTGGAATTTTTCATGCACGTTCCCAGCTGCAAAGCCGTGAGGGAGAACAGAAAAGTGGGTTGCATCCACCCACTTTGGGAGGGCCTGGTCTCTCCCCCCCCCCCCCGTGCCCTGCGGTCGCCCGGCTCTCCCTGGTGCCCCTGGACAGGCTGGGATTTGCAAGGGATTAAGGAAGGCCACCGGCAGAGCTTTTCTTCCTGCAAGAGCTCGGATTCCATCCCTGCCTTCCGTGACCTAGAAAGAGCTGGATGGCTGGAAGACGAGCCCCTTGCCCACCCGAGCCCCTGCCTCTTGAGGGGGCTCCAGTGCGCACACCAAACCCATGGTCCAGGGAGGGGGGAATGTCCCTCAGCCCACCCTGAGCCAGGAGCAGAACAGGGCTGGCTGTGCAAAGTCAGGAAATTGGGAATGTGGGGGAAATGTCCAGAAAGGCTGGCGCCCAGTTGCGTGTGACTCTGGTGCAGAGGAGAGAGGAGAAGAGGAGGACTCCAGACTAGATGGCAGAAGGATCCTGCCAAGGAAAGGGCAGGAGGGAGGGTGGCAAGGCAGATCTCAAGGGCAGAGCAGCAGCACAGGCAAAGAAGAGATGCCCACCTGCCCATCAGAAAGGAGAGGGGCATCTTTCTGGGAAATGATATATAAGGAGATGGAAAAAATGTTGAAATATACATTTATTAAGAAACCAGAAGCATTTTTACTTGGCATTGTGTTGTTGTTGTTTAGTCCTTTAGTTGTGTCCGCCTCTTGGTGACCCCCTGGACCAGAGCACGCCAGGCACTCCTGTCTTCCACTGCCTCCCACAGTTTGGTCAAACTCATGCTGGTAGCTTCCAGAACACTGTCCCACCATCTCGTCCTCCGTCGTCCCCTTCTCCTTGTGCCCTCCATCTTTCCCAACATCAGGGTCTTTTCCAGGGAGTCTTCTCTTCTCATGAGGTGGCCAAAGTCTTGGAGCCTCAGCTTCAGGATCTGTCCTTCCAGTGAGCGCTCAGGGCTGATTTGCTTAAGAGTGAATAGGTTTGATCTTCTTGCAGTCCATGGGACTCTCAAGAGTCTCCTCCAGCACCAGAATTCAAAAGCATCCATTCTTTGGCGATCAGCCTTCTTTATGGTCCAGCTCTCACTTCCATACATCACTACTGGGAAAATAATACATTTATTAAGAAACCAGAAGCATTTTTACTTGGCATTGTAGGAGATGATATAAACAGAAAGGATTGTAAGTTGTTTTTATATGCAATGATGGCAGCAAGAATATTACTGGCACAAAATTGGAAGCAAGAAGGATTACAGACGAAAGAAGAATGTAGGATGAAAATGATGGACTATGCAGAATTAGATAACCTAACAGGAAGAATTCAAAACCTGCGGGACCAGAGATTCTCAGAAGACTGGAGTAAATTTACGGACTATTTGCAAAGTAATTGTGATGAACAGATTACGCTAGTAGGTTTGCAAGAAGTTTTGTAAGGTGAATTATCTGAAATATTGCCAAAAAGACAATGAGGAGAAATGTTAGTTAAAGATAATTAAAGGTAATATGAAATTAAGAAATGCATAATAATTGATAAGAACGGAAATTCATCAGAGGTGTTGACGGAAGTCCAAAAACTATTGTATAAGATGAGAAGTTTTGTTGTATGAATGATAATATGTTAAAAACTAATAAAAATGTATTTTTTAAAAAAAAAGAAAGGAGAGGTGCATCCAGTCTGCCGGGCAGCTGTGTGGCTTAGAAGGAGCCCGTCCAGTTCTGGTTGACAAAAGGTTGGGGGGCCCGTTCCACCCTGAGATCCCCACAAAATCATGCTGAAGGGCCTTGGCAGGACTCCTTCCGAGAAGGACCAGTTGTTGGAACCCACAGGAGTGCAGAGGGCTCTTGTGCCCGGGTTCTGCTGGCAGATTTCCCGCACGAGCATCTGGTTGCCTACTGTGGAAAGGAAGAGGCTGCTGGGCTAGATGGGCCACTGGCCTGATCCAGCCGGGCTCTTCTTATGTTCTTAACCACCCCTTCAGAGGGCTGGAGGTGGAGACAGGAGAACGCTGAGACTCCTTTGCTGGGCACTGAGGACCCTCTCACACACCCACACCCCTCACTTTCCCCTGTGCTGCTTCTTCCGTATTTTTTCAGTCTGCAGAGAATCTCACCTTTGGGGAAAGAAAGCAATGGCCACACCGTCTCCATAGCTCTCTGTCACTATAGCATTGCCCTCCCATCATTTTTCAGAGGGGGGGCCTTTGACATGCGCAAGGATGCATCGGGCGAGGGAGCTGCTCTCTCCGTCTCCAATTTGTCACGGCTTCAGGATGTTTCCCCTCCCATTCCTCCTGCCCCGTTCCGGGAGATTAGAGAATGCTCGTGACACTCTGGTCCCTCTTCTCCCCGGTCTCCATCTCGGTGGGATTGCCAAGCCAGCGTGCTTGGGGGGGGGGAGTGGGGCATTTGCAGGGCCTCCGTTTGCCTGGCAAGCCTCCCCTGCAAAAACTCTCTTCCCTAACCCATCTAGCTCTTGCCCCGGCTGGACTCCAAGATCAGAACCCCTCCCTCCTTCTTACAGACCCTCTGCTGCAAATGCTTCCCTTCCGAAGAGCCCTGCACCTGGATCAGACCAGAGGCCCATCAGGAGAAGATAAGCAGAGGCTGCTGGATCAGGCCAAAGGGGCCCACCTAGTCCCGCCTCCTGTTCTCACAGGGGCCAACCAGATGCCCACTGCAGGCAGGATCCGAGCCCAAGAGCCTTCTCCCCTCCTGTGGTTTCCAGCAACTGCCGTTCAGGAGCATCACCCCTCCAACTGTGGAGGGCAAGGCAGAGCCATCCCTGCCTCCTGTGGCAGTGAGTTCCACAGTTTAACGCTGTGCTGCCTTAAGAAGGACTTTCTCTCTAACACCAGTACAGCTAGGAAGAATGTACAAAACCAGTTCAAATATGTGTTGGAAGTGCAAAGAAAAAGAAGGGACCTTTTATCATATGTGGTGGGATTGTAATGAAATTAAAAAGTTTTGGGAAATGATATATAATGAGTTGAAGAAAATGTTCCAGTTACCATTTGTTAAAAAACCTGAAGCATTTCTGAGAGGGATTGTAGGAAAAGACCTGCCAAGGAAACTGAAAAGTATCTTTATGTATGCGACAACAGCTGCAAGAGTCTTAATAGCACAAGGATGGAAAATGAGGAAATCCCGACTAAAGAACTATGGCAAGAGAAACTGATGGACTATGCAGAATTGGCAAAACTGACACACAAACTACATGACAAGGATAACTGTGATTTTAAAGATGAATGGGAACCCTTTACAAAGTATCTAAAGAAGCAACAAAACGAACTGGACTCCTTGGCAGGTTTTGAATAAACATTCACAAACTTTTTATTGATAACATTTAGACAGATAAGTTAAGGATCTGTACACTTTTGTAACATGCAGAAAACAATACATGTGGATAAACCAGAGAGAGGAGCTGAGGGACGTCCGGGGAGGGGGGGGGGAGGGGGGGTTGGGGTTTTGGGGGGGAGGGGGGAGGGGGACAATAAGGAGGGGAAATTCAAGAATGAAATGTTTTTTGATAAAATGTTATGTTGAAATTACTAATAAAAAAATATTTTAAAGAAAAAGAAGGACTTTCTCTCGTCTGTTCTGAACCTTCCAAACTTTAGCTTCATGGGATGTCTGTGAGTTCTAGGGTTGTGTGAGAGATGGAGAAAAGGTTTCCCCAGTGCAGAGCTGCCGTGGGTCAGCTGGCAGGCTGGAGGAGGTCAAGGCTGCCCTCTTCAGCCATGGTGCCCCCAGGACAAGCAGCTTCAGCCCCTGCCCCCCGCCTGCCATGGGGACGATCCCACTGGCCTACTTTGTACGGCTGTTGTGTTGTGGAGCTGATGGATGGGAAGCTTTCTGAATTCTCCAGGGAACATCCGTGATAAGTGCTGTAATTAATGAAGCCCAGGGTCAGCTGGGGCTGAGTCAGGAGTGTTAAGAGGCTGCCTGGCAAGAGCTGCTCCTCTCGGGTGCTTGCTAGGATGTTGCAACCAACGCCAAAGAAACGGAAGGGAACTTCTCCTCCCAAGTCTTCCCTGCTTCATTTGTTTTGAAAGTGAAGCCGGAACATGGACAGGATCAAGTCAGAGCGAGGGAAGGACCAGCGCTGCTCTCTTCTGCCTTGAGAGACCCCACCGGGAGTCCTGTGTCCTGTTCTGGGAACCCCATTTCAAGAAGGGTGTTGAGAAACTGGAAGGTGGGCAGAGGAGGGTGATCAAGGGTCTGGAAACCAAGCCTTGTGAGGAGGGAGTTGGGGGTGTTCCGTCTGGAAGAGACTTGAGAGGTGACATGAGAACTACCTGCAAATATCTCAACCTTCAAATATCTCACTTGGAAGAGGGAGCAAGCCTGTTTTTCCTCCTCTGGAGGGTGGGACGCATACTGACAGATTCAAATAAAAGAAAGGAGATTCTGACAAAATATCAGAAATAACTGTCTGATGCTAAGAGCTGCTTGACAGTGGAACAGACTCACTCAGGTGGTAGACCGTCCTTCTTCGGAGGTTTTTAAGTAGAGTTTGGATGGTCATCTGTCAGGGATGCTTGAGCTGAGATTTCTGTATTGCAGGGAGGTTAGACTATTTCTTCCCTTGATCGGGACACCAAATACCTGCTGATGCAGCCTAGAATTTTATCTTGCAAATTGCCCTGTGATCCTTGGGTGAGGGGCTGGGTAGACATTTTAAGAATAAGAATTGCATTAGCTTTTTTTGCTGCTGCATCACCCTGTTGCCTCACCTCAAGAGTCCTCACTTCCTGCTCCACCCACAATGCATCTCTCAGGGACTTCAGCTTCATTCCTGGAGACGACTGGAGGCCCGCACCCACAACCACATGTTTGGCTCAGCGAGGGGTTTGTGGCCACTAAGGAAGAAAGCAATGCAGGGGGGATCTGATCCCCACCCCCCAAAATTAAGGGGCAGGCCGGAATAAACCACTCTCTCCAAAGAAGTGCTGGAGCCCACGACTGCCCAGAAGCCACGCCTTCCCATCTGGCACCTCAGCCCACTGGTCCCAGGGGTGTGGGGGCTGGCATGCTGAGTGGTGAGGGGAAAGCACTCTGCACATGCCCAGAGACACTTCGATTGCTTTGTGTGTTGCAGGGTGCTGAAAATGGAGTCTGGACAGCAGTGGCTGAAGCCTGGAGGACGCAGGAGAGCAAATGATGCAAGATTATTCTGCCACAGGCCAGTGGCTCACCTGGACCAGCATCCTCTTCTCCCAGTGGCCAACTGGGAAGCCCCCCAGTGAGCTGGAGCTGAGCACCACAGGAAGTGGGGGACTATTGCAGTTTTATTTTTTGTTGAGCTTCTGAGCGGAGCTGAGTCAGTGTCGCCATGTCTGGCCGCGGCAAGCAAGGTGGGAAGGCGAGAGCCAAGGGGAAATCGCGATCTCCCCGCGCTGGCCTCCAGTTCCCCGTCAGCCGTGTGCACCGCCTGCTGCACAAAGGGAACTATGCTGGAGTAGCTCACAGCTGAAATACCGGCGCTGGCTGGCAACGCTGCCTGGGACAAGAAGAAAACAAAGATTATTCCCCCGCAATGATGAAGCATTGAACAAGCTGCTGGGAGGAGTCACTATTGCCCAGGGGGGAGTCTTGCCCAATATCCAGGCTGTTCTGCTTCCCAAGAAGACAGAGAGCCACAAGCCCAAAGGCAAACGAGGAAGAAGCGGGCTCTTTCACCTAACAAAACCTCAAACATCTGTGCATCACAAAAAAGGCTCTTTTAAGATCCACTAAAAAAAAAGGAAGTGGGGGACAAGCACAGCCAGGAGAGTGGAGTAGGAGTGCTGGCCTTGGCTTCCCTGGGAGGGGCCTTCCCACCAGCACCCCACCCTCCCCAGGCAGCCGCAGTCCAAAGTGGCACTTTCCAGCCCGGCCCCCGGGACCTGACCACTTCCCTCCCTCCCTTCCTTCCGCTGCCGCGTGGTGGGTGCCCCTCCCTCCAGCACCTGGCCTTGGCTTCCTCTCCTTGCAGAAAGTGTGGTTGTCATAGAAATGCAGGGGCTCTGGGTGGGCGCTCAGCCCCTTTGCTTGGGAGCTCAGCGCTTTGTGTCTCGGGCGCTGGAGGCCTCCTCGCTGCCCCCTCCCCAGGCACAGGAGCCCCCTGTAAAATGCACCCGCCTGCCCCGCAATCTTCCACCCCCTTGGCAGCTGCCGCTGGTGGAGAGTTGCATCGCCGCCAGCCTCCCCCAGCCACTGGTATTTTCGTTTTGCAAGCGAGATTCCAGGAATCTATTTTGCTCTTCTAGACTGCTTCGCTCTGTTTTTTGAGTCACAATTATCTTTCCTGCGCCATTAATAACCCTCAACAGTTATTTGAACTCCCACATGAAAGGGGGGGGGGGAGGGCTGGCATCCAACACTCTCCTGCCGCAGACGTGCCCTTTTCTGCTCTTCCGCTGCTGGGATCCCCATCCTGCCTGCCTGCACAGGCCCCCTTGGGTGCTGACACCCTAAGCCCTGCGTCCTTGCTCAAGGGGACAAATATGCTCTGCACCCCCCCTCCTTCAGAGATGCCCATCCCAATAGCAAGCATGGCATGAGGAGACCATCAGCTAGCTGCCCTATCAAAGGCAAGCCAAACAGATTTGGAGCATCCTTGTGGCTCTGGGACCCCATCCCCACAACTCCCCCAAATGTGCCCCTGCCCCCTGTGGGGAAGTCACTGCTGTGTCCTGTATGGGGAAGGGCATCAGAGCAGCAGGGGAGTGTCCCGGATCAGGCCAGTGGCCCACCTCGCCCAGCACCTGTTTCCACAGTGGCCAGGTAAACTGTGGCCGCTGCTGGGTGAGGGGGGGGGCTTCTTCAGGTGGAGGGAACGCTCCCTTTGGAGCTGAACTGTTTCCTGCCATCCCCCCTGAGAGTGTGGGGTGGGTTTGAATGGGCAGGAGAGGATCTGCTAATTGCTATTTATTCCTCCCACGTGTGGGGGTTGAATGGAGCTTAACGCCCCTTCCTTAGCAAGCAAAATGAAGCATATAGGAATAGGCCGTGGAGCCTTCTTTTAAATAAGTCCAGCCGCAGAGCAAACTGCCTCCCTCTTTCCTTGCCTCTGTTTAACAAAGAATTTGACAACAGACTGCAAAGTAAGTTTAAAATATGATTTACTCACTCATAGCCTTGCCCACCTAGCAGTTTGAAAGCACGTCAAGTGCAAGTAGATAAATAGGTACCGCTCCGGCGGGAAGGTAAACGGCGTTTCCGTGCGCTACTCTGGTTCGCCAGAAGTGGCTTAGTCATGCTGGCCATGTAAAGCGAGATGAGCGCTGCAACCCCAGAGTCGGCCACGACTGGACCTAATGGTCAGGGGTACCTTTACCTTTACCTAGGCTTGCATTGGTTCTCAGCTACAGCAGCAGTAAAAACCATGCAGGTAAAATACTTACATTTCCAGTGGAAACAGTCTCCAGCATGGGCACCGCTGAGTCAGGGATGGGGAGGGCCTGTGGCTCCCATGCAGTGGGGTCAGGGGGCTGGGGGACTAGGCTAGACCCCTCCATGTTCCCCTGACGCCTCCTTCCCAAAGCCTGGGGAGCTCCTGCCAGTCTTGGGGAGAGAGGCACAAGGCTTGTTGCCCAAGAGAAGTTTCATCGCACGCCACGCCTTCCCTGTCCAGTCTCCACCGGGATCTCCAGCTGGAGTTGGGAAAGGCTGTGCCTGAAACCCTGGAGAGCCATGACTGCAAGTCAGTGTAGACAATCCTTTCTTCAGAACAATGAGGACTGGCATCTTGACTTATTTTAGAGGAAGGGCCCTTGCATGCAGACACTCCCGGGTTCAACCCCCGCTGGCATCTCCGGGTGGGGTGGGAGGGAGCCCTGCAGAGTCTCTGCTGCCAGCCAGAGTCGGCAGTCTTGAGCTCGAGGGACCCCGTGACTGGGCTCTGTAAGGCAGCTTCCTCCATCCCTTGGGAGGGAGATGGTTGGTCCTCCTTTCCTCGCGCCGTCTTCGGCGCATGACGTGAGAGGGGTGGGCAGAGAGGCAGAGAGGAGCTCTTTATTTTTGTGTATGAATGTGTGTCTAATGAATTAGCCATGAATTGGAGCCCGCACAACGGGTAATTTAAACTGAACATTCATTCAGAACCATCCATCAGTTTCTCCGCACGTTACCATCGACAACCGGCTCTTGGGGAGCGCGTGGCGGGGACTGTGGAGAGCTGGGGGGCGGCAGCGCCTGCCAAGAGCCTCTCCTGCCCCACGCAGCTGGCTGGCTCCTCCAAGGTGGGGCAGGGGGCTTCTCTGAAGGGGCGGCCAGAGGGGGTTCATCCCTATCTCCCTCCCCCTTGATGGGCTGAGTGTGGGAGGAAATGGCAGGCAGGTGCTGGGGGCGGGGCTGAGCCTCTTCCCAGCATCATTCAGAATCCTGCTCCCCCCTCCATCCTTTCAGTGGGTTTGGGTGGGGGGCTCCCTCCTCTCCTAGTTGGGTAGGAGACAAGACTTGAGACCTCTGCTTTTGAACCTTTATAAACTATTCTTAAACTTTATACACAATATTTTCAGGGGTCCACATCATTGCATTGTCTTCATTTATCTTATCTGGCTTATTTGCTTATGTCAGCTGCTGTGACTATTTTTAAATGGAATAGCGGGATTGGAAGAATCAGCCGGGCTCCACCTCAGCAAAGGTCTGGGCCTTCGGGGTCTCCCTGACCATCTGCTGAGATGATGCAGGGGCACAGGCAAAGGGGGGGGGACTTTGCACCAAGGGGGGGGGAGGCCCTGGCTCTTTGGTTTGGCACTAGCCAGCAGGGAGACCTGGGGGTCACCTTCTGCCTGGACTATACCACTCAAGGCTGCAAGTGGGGGCTTCTGTGGTGGAGTGATGCTCTGCCTCGAGAAAGGCCACCTGTCCGCACCCAAGAAGAGGCTTCTGGATGAGGCCAAGGGCCCCTCTAGTCCAGCATCCTATTCTCACCAGGCCTGACACACTGCCTGGGGGACGGGAGCAAGCAGGTTTGGAGCATGCATACATACATACATACATACATACATACATACATACATACATACCTACAGTGGTACCTCGGGTTAAGTACTGAATTCGTTCCGGAGGTCCGTTCTTAACCTGAAACTGTTCTTAACATGAAGCACCACTTTAGCTAATGGGGCCTCCTGCTGCCGCCGCTGTTCTGTTCTCAACCTGAAGCAAAGTTCTTAACCTGAAGCACTATTTCTCGGTTAGCGGAGTCTGTAACCTGAAGTGTATGTAACCCAAGGTACCACTGTACATACATGTTGTTGTTGTTGTCGTTTAGTCGTGTCCGCCTCTTCGTGACCCCCTGGACCAGAGCACGCCAGGCACTTCTGTCTTGCACTGCCTCCCACAGTTTGGTCCAACTCATGCTGGTCTCTTCGAGAACACTGTCCCACCATCTCGTCCTCTGTCATCCCCTTCTCCTTGTGCCCTCCATCTTTCCCAGCATCAGGGTCTGTACATACATACTGTACATACATACATACATACATACATACTGTGATATGAATTTTATGGTCTTAGATATATGGTAATGTTCATAACCGCACATACATAGATCAACACAGGAAGGCCAACCTGGAACCATTTTGATTCCTAAACTGACCAAATGTTTTCTCTGCAAGGTCAAACTGGAAAAGTCTCCCCATTGTCTCTTTCCTCACAAATCCTGTCTTAAGGACACATTTAAGATATGAATAGGGTGTGAGCCTGTGACCTGGCCCAGGAAATAAGTATTTTACCACTACAAAAGAATGGCCAGGCTCCCCAGGCAATCCAATCAAGTAACCTGCTAGACAGGAGATAAACAACAACAGGAGAAAAACAACATTTAAATTTCTGTGATGTAGGTGGGATGTATCTGAGGGGTGGTCTTAGGTTACACCCCTTCTGTGATGTATGCATAACGTTTCTGGGGGTGGTCTTGATCTAGAGAATGGGAATTTCAAAACTCTTTATAAGCCCTTGCACAGCATTTTTGCGGGTCCTCTTCCTCTCCTGCATGTGAGTGGAGCACCCTGTTGCAACAGATTAATAAAGATCAAGCTTACTAGCTGCTTTGCTTCTCAATATTCTCTGGTTGGCCTCTGTTATCTTCTCCTACCAATAGGGAACCTGTGTAAGGACTCTATATGGGCTCTTGGATACCCCATAAGGGAAAAGGACAGATTTTTTATTTACAACAATACATACATAACTTTATTTGTATGCCACATTTCCACAGTTCAAAGGACACTCAAGCCAGCTTTCAAGATGTGTGGGGAAATCCATCATCAGTAGAGCATAACAAAAGCTTCCTGTAGCTATGCCCAAAAACCTAAAGGAAGGGAGGGAGAGAATTTTGCCTCAGAAACTAGACTAAAAAGAATGCAGGAAGGGGAGGCAGAAGAGCTATCAATTACTCATTTTGTGGGGCTCTGCAAAACACAGGGTTTCCCCTGCAAAACTTTGGCTCAGGTTTGGAGGGGATCCCAAATTTTAGGGTTTGTAGTTAATTTAATGTGGAGGGGTGTCCCTGTCCTGAAGTGTGTGTTGGTTCCTTAAGGGGGTTGAGTAAAATCCTTGTTGGCGCTTGGGGAGCTCACCCACCACGGAAGATCCAAGGGGGTTTTGTACTAATTTTAGCCCCTGCATCAGAATGGAAAGCGGAGGGGTCTTTGGGGCGAGTAATTTGTTATAATACCTGTACTCTATTGTTCTGTTGCTTCTTTCCTATTAATTTCCTGCCTA